TTTTTCCATCGGACCCGGTCAAATCCATCTCAATAGCCGATTGAATATATTTATATTTTATATTGATAATTATATATTATATGTCCATGCATATAACATGCCATATAGATATATTGTGCCTACTTATATGTTTCAAAACATGCCATGCATACACGTGCATTTATTATTATTTATTTTATTTATTATAAAAGGGTTTTAGAAAAATAAAATAAAATAAGAACCATGCGCTAAAATCAATTTAATATGATTAAATTGATTTTTAAGTTGCAAAATTGATTTGCAAAATAATGTTACATGTGAAATTGAATTTAAGAGTTAAATTTTGGAATTTCACATATTCGAAAAATAAATTGTTTATTTTTCGATTTGAAAACCATGAGATGTTTTTCAAACAAAATACATATTTGTAAAATAATGAGTGGGAGAGGGTTGTATGACAATACGACCCACTAGTCTCCACCGTTAGCGCAACACCGTGAGATCCGGAAATGGACTTTGCAGCGACATTGAATCGCCCTCCCAAAGGAGAGTGTTCTTGCCGGATCAATAACAAGGTTGGCTTCCTAGAGATAGGATTTCAGGATGTATTTTCGAATTGACTACCCAAAGGTAGCAATCCGGAGTTAAGTCTATGGGATCTGAAACGACGGTTTACACTCATAAAAATATAATCAAAGTTTGTTGGTTATATTTTGACTAAAATAACGGTAGTTAATAAATATGAAAATATGAGATATTTTGACTATATTTATTAACTGAGATGAGTCTCGGTTCAATTTGTAAATAATTTGACTACCCAAAGGTACACTTTTTTTGTGGTAAATTGAATTATCGTTGGCACCTAAAATTAAAACATGATTTATGTATTTTTCATGTGCATCATGCATCATATTTAATTGTGCCTAAATTCACATGCTTTTGATATTGATGCGCATAAAATGATTAGATGAATATTCTACTTATTTCAAGTAACATGTCAAATCCTATTATCATACTACTTGCGACTGAAAAATTAAACGGTGATAACTACGCTAAGTGGAAAAGTAACATGAACATACTATTGGTCTGCGAAGACTACAAATTTGTCCTAGTAGAGGAATGTCCTCAAGAACCCGCGGCTAATGCATCCAAAACTGCAAGGGAGCCTTATGATCGCTGGATCAAGGCCAACAACAAAGTAAAGTGCTTTGTGTTGGCCAGCATGAGCGATGTGCTTCACAAGAAGCATGAGGAGATGGAGACTGCTTATGAGATAATAGAGTCTCTAGAAGCCATGTTCGGCGCTCCATCAGAGAATGCTCGTTTGGATGCTGTAAGGACTTTCATGAATGACAAGATGA